AGAATGGTAGTCAGTAGTTAAACAAAGGTGTGGAGAACTTCCTCTGTGACTAGTAAGTGAAGAACTGGTCTTTTCTGTTATTCAGTTCACTTAAATGTAAATCGCCATGTAGAGCTACAGCTGCCACATTTGACAGCACGCATTGCCATCCCTACTTCCTCCAGCAGTTTCGGGCTATGAGTCTTAGGTTGAGGTCCTTCATCCATTTGGAGTTGATTTTTGTGTATGGTGAGAGATAAGGTACTAGTTTCCTTCTTCTACATGTTTTTTTAAATATTTTATTATTTTTGTTTTACATGTATGAGTGTATTGCCTGCACGTATGTAAGTGCATTTGTGTCATACAATACCCACCGAGGTCAGAAAAGGGTGTCAGATTCCCCTGGAACTGGAGTTAAAGACAGTTGTTAGCTGCCATATGGGTGCTGGGAATTGAACCTGGGTCCTCTACAAGAGCAGTCAGTGCTCTCAAGTGCTGAGCCATCTCTCCAGCCTGAAATTCTTCTATATGTTGATACAGTTTCTGAGCACCATCTGTTAAAACAGGCTCATTTTTCTCTTTTTTTTTTTTTTTTTTTTTGGCATCTTGGTGAAAAATAAGGTGCCTATGGTTTGCGTGGGCCTCTAGCTGTATATTCTAGTTTATTCTGTAATATTGATTTCTTTATCTGTTTTTATGCCAATACCATGCTGGTTTTGTTTCTATGACTCTGTATTATAGCTTGAAATCACCTGTAAAGATTCTCCTAGCTCTTCTCACCCACCCCTCAGAATTCCATTGGTTCTCTGTGTTCTTTTGTCCTTCCAAATGGCTTTTAAATCTTTTTTTCTATTTCTGTGAAGAATGACACTGGAATTTTGCTTGCGGTTGCATTGAATCTGTAGATTGTTTTTGTTAGGATAGCCATTTTCACAATATTAATTCTTTCAATGCATGGGAGTTCTTTCCTTTTCTTGGCGTCTTCCTCTATTTTCTCCTTACTTCCTTGGTTAGGGTTGAACAGAGGTACCCTGCACATGTGGATAATGCTGCTTCTTCCTCCCACAAACCAAGGGTTATTAAACAAACAGCCCATTACCATGCATAGGGTACCTACTTATGAGCTGATAGCCATGGAGGCTCCAGAGGCCTCCATAACAGTGCAGGCTATTACATTGTTCATGGTTGCTACCATAACTGGATGGAAATACTCTATTGCTAAAGACACCACACACTTTGGTTACAGGGCATAGAGAGATCAAGCTGGGACTGAACTGGAAGCTTCCTCTATGCTGACTAGCTTTCATAGTTCCAGAAGATGTGATGCTGGAAGGTGCTATACATACTGCTGTCTGACCTAGCAGTGCACGCTACACTGTCAGGCATGATGTGCCCACTAGGGCAGTAGTGGCAGGAATGTTATGAGGGTAACCAACCACTTTCTGATTGACTTTGAGGCCTGCTCCACAAGAGGGAATTCATGGCTGGTGCACTAGACCTGTTCTAAAGTCCATGGCAAGGAGGTCATAGGCCTTAGTGGAGAACCTACTACAGTTGTTTTGCCAAATGGGCATGTTGTCAAACTGCCTTATCAATAGTTATGGCCACACACATCGATGAGTGCTGCTATCAACCTCAGGGAAGCTTCCTTTTGCCATGGGAAGCAGTTAGTGCAGAGACTCATAAGTGATCAGAGTGATGAGAATTGGTGTTGAGTGCTAAGCCCTAAACAGGACATCTACCCCACCCCCTTTAAGGTTCAGAGAACATCACAGAAGGGGTATCAGAAAGAATTAAGAGCCAGAGGACAGGTAGGAGAGCTGGGAAATGCTGTCTTTTAACATGACATGGCTGTTGTACTCATGAACTCAGAGGTTGCCTGCACAAGACCTTCATGACATCAAGGACATCAACACTACAACATGGATGGGGGAGATGCACCTGAGGCCCCAACCCTACCTGTGGAGTTATTAGTGCATAATGGCTACCAAGGGAAGGGAGTCATTCAGGGGTGTGTAGCCACTGGTGAGTTGCTGATGGTCCAGTAAATAACTGCACAGCCATGCACATGCAAGCAACCCCGATTAACCCAGTGAGTTGTTTGAAATGCAGAGGGGCTGGAGAGGTGGCTCTGTGGTTAGGAGTGCTTGCTGTCTTCCAGAGGACCCAAGTCCAGTTCTAAGCACCCACTTCAGGTGGCTCACAATCTCCTGTAACTCCAGTTCCAGGGGCTCCAATGCCCTCTTCTGGCTTCCACAAGCACCTGCACACACACACACACACACACACACACACACACACACTTAAAAAAATAAAAACAAATCTTAGCAACAAAAAAGGCAGAGATACTCCTATGAAAATTTTAGGAATTAAGAATAATCTGCTTTCCATGTTCAAACACAAATGATAAAAAATGAAAAAAGCCAGGCATGGTGATCCTAGCAGTAGACAGAGACTTGAGGGTCTCTGGAGCTCACTGACCAGGTGGTTTTGCCAAACCAGTGAGCTTTTCTTGGTTCAGTGAGAGACTCTGCTTCAAAACATCAAGTGATTATATCAAACTTCTCCCAAGGCTCAGGGATCACTGGGGTGGAAAGATTGTAAGAGTTGGAAGTGGTGGGTCACCACAAGGGAACAGATTTTCCAGACGGCTGGTCAGTTATACATGTGAACTCACAATAATGGTGACAACATGCAAAATTCCCACATAAGCCCAAGCCAGATAAAGTCTGAGTATAGACATGAGAAACTGGGTAAGAAACTGAAACCCTAACTGGGGAACTACCGACAATGTATATATTTATCACATAAAATTGGGCAGGGGTAATAAGGGGGCACAAATAGGGATCTAAACAGGATAAAACAGGAAAAATGAGGTGGGGAGCAGTAGAGAAAGGGAGATGACACCCAGCATCAACCTCTAGCTTCTACCTGCACATGGGCTCCCACAAACGTGCACACACATGAACACATGCACACATGTACATACATTCATTATTGAACTACACTGGTAAGTAAGATAGTTGATAGAACATAGAATTATTGATTTTGTAATTACTATACTGTCTTCAGTGATGTAACAGAGAAGATCATGAGGAGGAAATGAAAGTGAGTGACCAGAGGTAGCATGGGAGACTGAGAGAGACCTGGGACCCCAGACATTTCTGTGAAATGTTCTCAGCAGGTCATCCCCTAATTCTTACCATCTAATGAACAGACTACAAAATAACAGTTTAATTAGTTGTGTGAACACTGTCCCTATTGAAAAGCAGAATATGCTGGGAGACTCGAGTCCTCAGAGACTTAAAGAGACACAAACCTTAGAAAATGTTCCTCATGAGGGACCTGGGATGCCTAGGGAGGAGAAAACAACCCAGTCTTCAGGCACTGCCTGCCTTTATCAATGGATATTTCCCAAATAAGGAAATACCGTGATGTCCTGGAAAATGGGGGGAGACCCAGGGTGGGCTGAAACAGGGACTGAGCTGTACCAGTACTGGTGTGCAGACTCGGGGTTTTAATGCATGCTTGCATTTTTACAGAATATTTGGATTTACGTGTCTCGTATACCTTCAGATGTTTATTATTTTTATATTAAATATGCTGTGACTTTCATTTTATTTGTAATGATGTTGGTATAGATATGTAATGCATGGTATATCCGTGGGCTGAGACGAACCAGGTTTCTGAGGTGGTTAACTTACTCTTCTGTGCTGAGACTGAGAGGTGCAGTACATTCATGTAAGCATCTGTGTGGCTTATGTGCAAGGTCTGGTGAGTTGCATGTGTTGTGATGTGAAGGGATGATTCTGGGAAGCAGCAAGATGTGGAAATGATCAGTTGAGAGAGGCCCTGCCATCCTCCACAGCACTGATGTCCCAGAGACCCTCACTAGGTCCTGTCATCTCCACAGCTGTGTTGTTACAGAGACCCCTCTCTGTATGGTTTCACTCCTTGTAGCTGCTTGGAAGAGGGGACCGCTCAGATTTCTTCCCTAGCCAATGGAGGCTGTGAACTTCATCTGCTGGTAAGATGATAGAAAATGAAGAGGGGGTGATAAGTGGAGGGATGGGGAGTGATAATTGAATCAGGGAAGGGAAATGGACAGGAAAAGATAAGGGGAAAGAAAAACAAAGATAAAAGATTCAGAGGAAGGATGGACAGAAAATCCCCTTGACTGGGAACAGGTTTTTCCTCCCATGGAAGTGGACCCAGTTCTGGTCTTGAGCAGGAAAACATCAGCTGGGTGGGAAATGCCCAACCCCAGCCCTGAAGCAAGGATGGAAATGGAGAATAGTGAAAGGCCTGGACATGGGGGCTCTGGACTGTAATCCCAGCACTCTGCAAGCTGAGGCAGGAGGGCAAAGGAGAGTTGGAGGCCAGTCTGAGATACCCAGTGAGTTCCAGACCATCCTGGGATGCAAGTGAAGCTCTATAAAATGAAAAGAGAGAGAGAGCCTAGAACAGTCCAACGGTTTGCCAGAGCAGAAGAATCTGACCTCAGTGTCTGCTTCTGAAAGGTGTGCACTGTGGAGAGAGGTCAGAGACATATGGGCCGAGGGTGCAAAACGGGCTTGCTGCATTTCCAAGGCCCAGACCCTGAGAGTCTGAGAGAAGGAGCTCGGAGGCAGAGGCATCCTCTGGATCCCCGTCAGAACGCACAGGACTTCCTCCTGCCGCAGGATGGGGACCAACGCCTCCCAGGTGACTGAGTTCGTGCTGGTGGGCTTCTCCCGCCTGGCCCACCTGCAGGGCCTGCTTTTCTCCCTCTTCCTGGCTATCTACCTGCTCACAGTGGCCGGCAACCTCCTCATTGCGGCGCTGGTCTCCACGGACGCCGCGCTCCAGTCCCCCATGTACTTCTTCCTCCGAATCCTCTCTGCCCTGGAGATATGCTACACGTCGGTCACCGTCCCCCTGCTGCTGCACCACCTGCTCACCGGCCAGCGCCACATCCCGCGGTCCGGCTGCGCCCTGCAGATGTTCTTCTTCCTCTTCTTCGGCGCCACCGAGTGCTGCCTGCTGGCCGCCATGGCCTACGACCGCCACGCGGCCATCTGCGAGCCCCTGCGATACCCGCTGCTGCTCAGCCGCCGCGTGTGCAAGCAGCTGGCGGGCGCCGCGTGGGCCTGCGGGGCCCTGGTGGGCCTGGGCCACACGGCCTTCATCTTCTCCTTGCCCTTCTGCGGCACCAACGCCGTCCCTCACTTCTTCTGTGAGATCCAGCCGGTGCTGCAGCTGGTGTGTGGAGACACCTCGCTCAATGAGCTGCAGATCATCCTGGCGGCCGCGCTCATCATCCTCTGCCCCTTCGGCCTCATCCTCAGCTCCTACGGGCGGATCCTGGCCACCATCTTCCGGATTCCCTCTGCCTCCGGCCGCAGGAAGGCCTTTTCCACCTGCTCCTCCCACCTGCTGGTGGTCTCCCTCTTCTATGGCACTGCCATCTTTATCTACATCCGCCCTAAGGCCAGCTACGACCCGGCCACGGACCCCCTGCTGTCTCTGTTCTATGCGGTGATCACCCCCATCCTCAATCCTGTCATCTACAGCCTGAGGAACGCAGATGTCAAGGCTGCCCTGAAGAGAAGCATCCAGAAAATGGGGCTGTACAGATTTGACAAGGGGTGGGGTATGACTCTGGAGCAGCACTCCTGGACAGTACCGAATTACGAAGGATCAAAGGAGAGGAGATGTGGAACTCAGAAGAGGGTCATACAGTTAAGAAGACAGCTTTGCCTCTGAGGAGCTGCCACAGACAAACTTCTCAACACCCACAGGCTCTTTTCTGCCTTCCGTAGAAGGGAACCCAAGATGGAGGGACGATTTTACAAGCAGAACAATTTAACAAAGTTGCAGAATATCAGTCCCAACAGACTATCAAGATAATAAGGTTTCCAGCCACAGCACAAAGATCCTTTAAGTTATTTGGCATTGGGACATGGTACAAAAGGCCTTTGTTCCCCGAGTGGCTGTCTTGATTAATATGACGGCACACATAATCATACCTAATTTTTTAAAATTTGTCTCTAGGAGACGGAGAGATGGCTCAGAGATTAAGAATGGGTACTGCTCTTGCAGAAGACCCAAGTTCTGTTCCCAGCACCCAGTGTTGGGCAGCTCACAACCCCAGCTCCAGGGGGATCTGATTTCCTCTTCTGGCCTCCAGGGGTATTGCACTCATGTAAACATACCCCCACACCCAGGTACACATAATTAAAAATAAATCTTTTTATTAATTTAAAAAATATTTTATTTATTTTTATTTTATGTGTATGAGCATAATGTCTGCATGTAGGTGGGTGCACCCATGTCATACATGCCCACTGAGGTCAAAAGAGGGTGTCAGATGCCCTGGAACTGGAGTTACAGATGGTTGTTAGCCACCATGTGGGTGCTGGGAATCAAACCCGGGCCCTCTGGAAGAGCAGCCAGTGCTCTTAACTGCTGAACCATCTCTCCAGGCTCCTAAAAATAAATCTTAAAAAAAAATCTATCTTTAGGCAAAAGCTCTTAAGAACTGAAAGGGGCCAGAAAAGAATCATACAGGCAAGTTCTTATGGAAATTAGTTCAAGAGAGTGGTTGAAAGGATTGATCTTGGGGCTAGGGACATGGCGTAGTGGACAAAGGAGCTTCCTGCCAAGCCTGATGGCAGGACTTCCACCCCATAACCTGTATGGTGGACAAAGGAGCTTGCTGCCAAGCCCGATGGCAGGTCTTCCATCCCCAGAACCTTATGGGGGACAAAGGAGCTTGCTGCCAAGCCCGATGGCAGGTCTTCCATCCCCAGAACCTTATGGGGGACAAAGGAGCTTGCTGCCAAGCCCGATGGCAGGTCTTCCATCCCCAGAACCTGTATGGGGGACAAAGGAGCTTGCTGCCAAGCCTGATGGCAGGACTTCCATCCCAGAACCTGTATGGTGGACAAAGGAGCTTGTTGCCAAGCCCGATGGCAGGACTTCCACCCCATAACCTGTATGGTGGACAAAGGAGCTTCCTGCCAAGCCCGATGGCAGGTCTTCCATCCCCAGAACCTGTATGGTGGACAAAGGAGCTTGCTGCCAAGCCTGATGGCAGGTCTTCCATCCCCATAACCTGTATGGTGGACAAAGGAGCTTGCTGCCAAGCCTGATGGCAGGACTTCCACCCCATAACCTGTATGGTGGACAAAGGAGCTTGCTGCCAAGCCTGATGGCAGGACTTCCATCCCCAGAACCTTATGGTGGAAGGAAAAAACTGACTCCCACAAACTGTCATAAACAATCATTTAAAATTTAATCTAAAGAATTAATCTTGATGTCAGTAGACTTGCATTCTAATCCTTTGCTTGTATATGGGTTGTTTTCTTTTGTTTGAAACAGGGTCAGATGTAATGCTGGAAGTTCTCAGACTCACCGTGTACCTGAAGCTGGCTTTAAACCCCCCATTCTCCTGCCTCCACCTCCCAAGTGCTGGCATTACAGACATTCAGCACAAATCTGCCTTGAATTCAAATCCTAATTCTTCCAATCAATTACGTGTGTGGTCAGGACAATTGATGTGCTCTCTCTGAGCCTCCATCTCCTTATCCATGAAGCTGAGATACAATGGAGTTGACTTCTCTGGGAGCTTATGGGAACTCACAGACATGTTAGTCATCAGGCTTGCTATGGGAGCAAAACTGGCATCAAGGTAATGCCCATGGCACATTCTTTTGCCAGAGGAAGAAGGATGTTCTTAGACTGTCGGTGACCTTAGTACCCAGGAAACCCAAAGGAAGATCGATAAAGACTCCACACAACAAGGCTACAGGAATGTGTCCCCAAACCGTGAGGCAAACCAAAAACAACCAGGACACCGAAGGTGAATAAAACAGCCATGAAGTGCAAGAGTCAATGGAATACAGAGCCAATAAATGAGAAAAGGTGAGAGGGCTCATTAATAAAAGATGGCTCTGCTGGGTGTAGTGGTGCCAGTAATCCCAGCACATGGGAGGCTGAGGCAGGAGGATTGTTGCAAGTTCCAGGCCAGCCTGGGCTACAGAGTAAATCTGTCTTTGAAAAAAAACAGAAGAAGGAGGAGGAGAAGGGGGGAGGGGGAAAGGAGAGGGAGGGGAGGGAGAGGAGGAAGAAGCCGCCAGGCACAGTAGCACATGCATTTAGTCTCAGCACTCAGGAGGCAGAGGCAGGTGGGTCTCTGTGAAATCAAGATCAGCCTAGTCTACACAGCAAGTTCCAGGTCAGCTGGGGCCAGAGGGGGACAATGTCTCAAAAAACAAACAAACAAAAAAGAAGTCTTCCAGAGGTCCAAGAGAACATACTAATTAAGAATTCGCTAATAATTAAAAATATATAAGAGAGGATGGGGTAAAAGCAATCAGAATGCACTATGTACATGTATGATATTGTCAAAGAATAGATTGCTATTTTTAAAAAAGAAAAATAATAAAAATACAGTCCACACTTTTTAAATTTTTTAAAATTTATTTTTAATCATGAGTACATGTATGTCTGTGTGTAGGTATGTGCATGTGGGTGCAGTGCCTGTGGAAGCCAGAAGAGGATGTCAGATCCCCTGGAGGGGGAATTACAGTTGGTTGAGAGTTGCCTGACATGGCTGCTTCCAACTGAACTCAGGTCCTCAGAGCAGCCAACGCTGTTAACCCCTGAGCGTCTCTCCAGCCCACACACATTTTGTGATTCTTAACACTTAGTCTTGCCAGTGCTTAGCCAGGGATTTCTCCATGCTTGCTGCTCCTCCTGATGCTGTGTTGAATACTGAGGAAATACATGGTGGTGCCTTTGCCCAGACAGTCCTTGTTTAGAGAGAAAACATGGATTCCATGACACTGTCACTGAATAAGGAAAGTTAGGAAGTACTGTGCTCCAAACATCAAAGTGAGGCTGGGGCCCTGGCTCAGTGGGAAAATGCTCACCTAGCAAGCCAAGGCTGGGCTCAATCCCCAGATCTGAAGGAAAAATTACACACGTGGTTACTCTACCATGTCCCAGAAAGACCTCGTGGCCTTCTCTACGTGTGCTGTATCTGTACTCTCGGCCTCTCCAGTGCCCATCAGAACTTCACTAGAGAGAAAAAACCTTGAGGAAGATCTGCCTGAAGGGTCAGCAAAATGGTTTTTCCTTTAGTCACTGAAACTCTCATCCCCAGGGTGAAGCAGGCCAACAGAGATGCACATTTAAAATGTACCATTTCCACCTCCTAATCAACTCCATCTACTCTTCCCCAGAGACTGTTCTTGCTTTGAGTACTTTGGCATTCTGCCATTCATTCCCACTGGAGAAGATGACAAGAGGCAGCCTTCTGAAACTCGGAGGAAAGTTACCCACATCTCCTGACATCTTCCTGTCGTATAACCAATACCTTCTGTTTATGAGATAGTGTCTCATGTAGCTCACTCAAACTGACCTGTAAGTCACAGATCTTAAATGCTGGGATTACAGATGAGAGCCACCACACCCAGCTGGTGATATCTTTCTTCTCACCATTGGATGAAAGTATAATTGACATGTAATAAATTGTATATATCATATATATTGAAATGTACAATTTGGTAAGTGTTGACATATGCATGCACCACGAAACCATCAGCACAGTCATTAAATAACATACCCTCCCCCAACAGCTCTCTCTTGCCTCACTGCAGTCTCCCTTCCACCCCTCTGCATTCCTCATTCAATATGCGAACAGTCATAAAATCTGTACTTTTGGGTCTAATTATTCTTATCCAGTATAATTGCTTTGCGATTAACCCTGCTATAGTGTGTGGCAGCTGTTCCTGTTCATTCTTGAGCAGTGTCCCATCACACAAATGTGCCTCAGTTTATCTATCCATGATGATGGAAGTGTGGAGTGTTTCCAGTTTTTCACTCTTACCTATGAAGCATCTGTGAACTTCTGTGTATACTTATGGTATCTGTTCATTGCTCCTGATGTATCCAGTTGCACATACAGACATACAGAATGGACACATCACAAGCAGGAGTTGGTTTTCAATGAGGAAAGTCCTGGGTTAAGACTGGGAACTAGAAAGATGGCTCATCAGTGAAGAGCACTCATTGCTCTTCCAGAGGACCCAAGTTCGATTCCCAACACCCATCATGTTGGGCCACTCACAATCATCTGTAATCCAGGAAATTCAACATCCTCTTCAGGCCTCTCTGGGTACCTGCACACATATGGCATGCGCGCACGCACACACACACATAAATAAATAAATAAATAAAAAAGTAAATCCTTAAAAAAGAACTATCAACTGGGGCTGGAGATACAACTCAGTGATTAAAAGTGCTGACTGCTCTTACAGAGACACACACACACACACACACACACACACACACACGAGAGAGAGAGAGAGAGAGAGAGAGAGAGAGAGAGAGAGAGAGAGAGAGAGACTCTAGTCTTACTAAAACTGACCTAAAGCAAACTCCTGGTACCACCTTTGCAGTTTTCTACTTCATTATAAATAAACTGGAGACTGAATTAAATCAGCTGCCCTGGGTTACAGATTTCCTGCTCTATACTGATTTCATCCAAAGATCTGCCTCCAGTAACTGACTCTCTCACAAAGAACCAAATCAAAAAGTGTGTTGAATGCTCTTTCACCATCACTGCCACAGGATCTTGAACTCCACCAGTCCTGAGCCAAACTTAAGCATGTCTGTGTGATTCCATGAAAAACACCGGTCAAAATAGCTAACAAGCTTTTAACTCTAATCCCAGAAGGGAAAGAAGGCCAGCAGAAAGA